CATCCCTGAGGCTCAGCATCTCTGAGGAGCAGTGATCAAAGCCACCCCTCTCCCATCACAGTAGGCTCCGGATGTCAGCTCCATGACACCCCGCCTACCCATCCTGCTGGAGAGACTCTGTGCATTCATCAGGCATCTCCAGAGAGGCACACGGCAATCTGGAAGGCCCAGAGATGCCAGACCGCTAATGTGCTAGGGAAAAGACGTCAGTGAATATTACAAACACCCCAGAGGATGAGAGGCAGGCCAAGAGAGGAAAGACCTGGAAGGAATCAGAAAAAAAAGAGGGCGAGAGCAGGCACTTGGGAAATTCACGGAGGAATGGCACTGCCTTCTTTCTTATTTCAAAAAGGGGGATACTGCTGGGGCAGACTCAACTGCACTGAAAGCAGGTAAAGAGGGTCTCTCCTCCTGTCCAGCCCTCCAGTGTTAGGTGCTGCCACCCCTGACCCGGGGGGACCAAAATGCAAGGCACAAATCCTGCTGGTACACTGCTCCTCCGAGATGGACACAGCCAGCAGGGACCAAATGCCTGCAATCCATCTTCACCGGAGCAGGGTTCATACTGCAGCAGGAGCGTCACCTCCCAGGGCAGCGTCACCCCATCACCAGGCTGTCAGTCATACCGGGGACAGCCCCTGGGCACGCAAAAGCGCACGCAGGTCGTGAACCAGATATTGCACCATTTAGGCACGGGAAGGCCGAGCACCCTTGCAGCCTGAAGCCCTCAGCTTGCCCAGCCTTCCCTTCCCTCCGACCCCTCCAGCCGCAGCAGCAGAGCCCTGCTCAGCAGCAGGTGCAGGGGAAGCAGAGCCAGCCCAGAGCTGCCGGCCAGTCACCCAGCAGGTCCACAAAGCATGGCCACGCCAGCCTGCTCTAGCTGTGCCGAAGCCAGAGCAGCATCTAGGTCAGGCTCGGAAGAAAACAAAAAGCAGCTGAGCAGCCCTCAGCCGGGACTGAGGGATGCTGACACAGTAACTGTACTGCAACAGCTCAGCCCCAGTGCAGCCCCGCTCCTTCCCTGTGCCATGGGAGAGCTCCGTATGGAAAAACGGATTAAAAAAAAAATACAGGGAGCAACTTTCAGACGGCTCCTGAAGCGCAGCACCTGAACCTGACACCTCCTTAGGAATGGAGGCAGCTGCCTGCCTGCTGCCCATGGGCTTTCAGACCTGCTGGCTGGCAAAGGGTAGCGTGGGCCTAGCCTACAGCATCTGTACCCTCCTGCCTCCTTGCAACCACTGGTCACAGCTGGAGGGATCTAACCGGCTCTCTCTGGCACGCGTCATGCTGGATAAACACAGCAATGATCCTCTTCAGCTACACGGGCACCCAGAGCCCTGCAAAACCGTGGGAGCATTTGCCCAGCCCACCGCATAATAAACAACAGCGGGGGTACAGAAGGGTCTTCCAGGGACGTGAATCCTCCCCACGAAAACCGTCAGAGCGTGACGGGCGCAGTCTGACCAGAGACTTTTCTGGCTACAACTGCCACACGTGACGACTTCCACTGCAGGTGGCCTGGAGAGGCTTCGACCCTCTGACTTAAGAGGTAACCAGCTCCTTATACTGTTCCTAACCCCAGCACTTATCATAAGCTGACTCAGAGTGAAGTCAAACCCTGACTTCAATCAGTATTCAACGTTATTAATAGAGGCATGCATGAAACCTGACAGGCAGAAGAGCCCAGGCCAGCAGAAGCATCATTTCTCTGCCAGCATCACCTCTGACAAAGCAGCTCTACCCACCAGCCCAGCCCCCAGCAAAGCCCACCTTTCCTTCGCTTTGTAGCAGAAACACCTCATAGCCCTCCCTTGAAACGACACAGGAGGGCTCTG